TGTCTTGAGATTCTTGTTCAAACCCCGCAGCCAGAAGAGTCAGAGACCTATGTAGCAGGAAAGGCTACTCAGAATGCCTTTTGGGTCTTATAGTGGCAACAGCAATATCAATGAGAAGCACATGTGAGGTTGTTCTGACTAACTTGCCCACTTTCTCCCTTCCTCCTTCCCTCCCTCTGTCCCTTCCCTCCTTCCTTCTCATTACTCCATGTCAGTACAGAAATCAAAGGTCAAGGATACAGAACTCTGGTGAGAACTGACTTGCTAAACTCTAATGCTTCTCAACCTCAGCTGTATTTTATAATCATTTGAGACACAATGAAAACTCTGTGATACTGCATATGCCTGAAAGACTCTGTTCGGAAAGCTCCTAAGAACTGTCAACAAAATATGAGACAGAAATAAGAACAGAACTACGGATAAAGCCATTAACAGTGGCAGCCACCTGTAGAAGCTGGTGCAATCAGCAACACAGACAACCCTTTCATTTTCTCTATTGTTCTCTTGAGCAGTTGTCACTTGCACAAGACATATGGGTTACTCTAGTCACGCTAACCCATGTTTAACTTCTACACTTAGACTCTGGCAAAATTTAGCACATTTGTCTGCAGACAAAAAGACAGTATGTGGAAATTGTGATATGAAATCTTCAAAAAATACTTTTATTTTCAAAACCCTTGCATTTGAGGGACATCACTATCAAGGATCCCTTCCATGACAATATCACGAGGAACCAAATCAAGGACTTGTGAAGAAATGGGCATGTTAGTTTGTCATTCATGAAAGGTTGCTTTATTCAATACTTTCTGCTACTCTGTTGGAACTAATGGTTGACCCACAACAGAAATAGAAAAAGTCTAATAATATAAATAGAAACCTATTATATTATACACACATACACACACATAAAAGCACACACGGAGGCTTTTTTCAGCACAAATCTAATTTGTTAAGCAAATATAAAAAAAAATAAGAATACTTCAACAATTCATATGATCAGGTATATTTGGTAGCAGTGTAAAGATATAGGAATATTGCTAAATATCCCAGATATAACATGATGGGTTTTTATCACCAGGACTATCCTTCAGAAAAAAATGGAGCTTCCTGGAAACAAAGTCTTTGCAAATCTTGTATTACAAGTTGCTCTCTATTTTCCACAGGAAAGTTGCATTAACGTGAAATACTCTGAATCAATGCTTATTTTAGATAATCTATAGAGACTATTTTATAGAATCACTAAAAGAGGAGGCAATGACATTTTATATAGATTTTGGTTTTGTGCCTGAGGATTTGACCTCACAATTGTAGATGTCACTCTAAACATGACTCTCAAAGATCTTAAAGAACAGTACAATAAGTTGTTACATAGTGGAAATCATTATTATAATCCTGCAGGATGAACGCACAACAAAAAAACTGTCCTACTGTTATAAAAATTCAGTTGATTGAAACTTATTTCTCATTGACAGTATATTATACTTTTAAAAAAGTACTGCTAAGCAACATTATTTCATTAAATGCAGGGGTGTAAAAAAGCAATATTGCTAAATTAATATATTTTTCTACTAGTTTAAATATGTTATTGTTGTTGTTTAGTCATTAAGTTGTGTCTGATTCTTTTGTGACCCCATGGACTGTAATCCACCAGGCTCCTCTGGCCATGAGATTTCCCAGGCAAGAACACTGGAGTGGGTTGCCATTTTCTTCTCCAGAGGATTTTTCCGACCCAGGCACCAACCTCCATCTTCTGCACTGGCAGGTGGATTCTTTACTATTGAGCCATGAGGAATGTCCAGTTAAAATATGTACATATAATCAAATTGATAAGTTAAATAGTGTAACTATATGTTTAATTGTTCCATGAGCATCCCAAACAGTCTCTTGTCTCCCAAAACATCTTCTTTTGTGTTATATCATTGGGCAAATGAGAGGTTTCATTAAAATTGGAATCTTTTTATATTTGGGCACATATGTCTGAAATATTTATTTACAAATACTTGTAATCAATTACTGCTATGAGCACAAAGATGTTGTTAAACATTTGTATATGTATCTTACTTAAGTATTTGACTTTTTAACTAATAGAACTTCATTCTGGAAAGAAATATAGATCACTTGATTTAAAACAACAAATTCCTTTAAACACCACCATGAAGGACTGAAGTAAACACTAGAACTTTCTTTTCATGTATATGTGGATGTGTCTTTTCCATCCACAAAGCACTAGGAATTTATGATCAAACCATAAAGCTTAGATGATATTAGAATGATAAAACTTAAATATATTTTTGCTAGAAAAAATGAAATCAAGAGAAATCTTTAAGTTTTATTTTCTATTTATACAGCTTTTATTTCCATTGAATATAGCTGAAGTATAAACTAAACTATGTGGATTATACTTGTGACATTTTAAAACAGTTAATTAATCCATAAAATTAACTGTTAATTCTTGAATGACATATTTTTTAAAAGGTTTAAAAATATCAAATTAGAGATTCCTTAGCTATTTCTCAAGTTGTAAAAAAAAGTCCCTTTACAGTCTCATAAAGCAGGATTAAAATTTTTCACAATGGAATACAAACATCTTAGAATAATTAAGCAATCAATAATAGTAATAAGGATTCAAATTATATTATCCTTGCTGTATTGACTGTTTAGCAAATAGAATCCATTTCCAGACATTTAAAGATATCCCTTAATATTAAAAAAAAAAAAAAGATCTCTGTGACTGGAAGTCTCTGTTAAACATGAATGATTACACATCAAACACTCAAATCAAAACGTAAGTATGGAATCACATTATTGGCTTTAAGTCTAGTCAATATTTAACTCACAATATTTTCATGATACTGTCTTTAAATCTCACATAGCTGTGAGAACTTTAACCCCTCCCTCCCACATGCCTGTATGAAAATGATCGTTAGTGATAACTGTTCTGTCTTTCAGACAGCAAAATAGACACCCTTTATAAATAGTAAAGTTCTACAGAAATGCTAGTATTCCTAACCCTTTCTATAGTTAAGTTTATGTGTCGACTCATTAGGCCACAGTACCCCGATGTTTGGTCAAATACCAGTCTGGATATTGCTGTGAAGGTATTTTTAGATGAGATTACATTGCAGTCGGTAGACTTTGAGTAAAGCACATCACCCTGCAAAATGCAGGTGGGCCTCATTCAATCAATAGAAGGCCTTCAGAGTAAAATAAAACAAACAGAAAAAAAACTGAGGTTCCCTGAAGAAGAGATTTTCTTCAGACTGCCTTCAGACCTGAGCTGCAATGTAACTCTTCCCTGAGTCTCCAGCCTACTGTCCTACCATGCAGATTTCAGACTTGCCAGTTTCAACAATCACTTGAGCCAATTTCTAAATATTACTCTTGTTCTCTCCCTCTCTGTAGATGTTTATGTATTATCTATTTTAGCCAACCAGCTATCTAGAGAGAGAGAGAGAGAGAACACTTGCCTCCTGTCAATGCACTCTAAAATACATTTTGTTCACGTGCTTGTTTAATTGTCTGGCTTCCGCACTGCACTGTATACCCTCTACCTGCAGGGATTTTATCTGTCCGTCCTCTAACTCTCATGCCTTGCGCCAAGAAACTCTCAAAATGTATTTGCTGAATTAATTAATTAGATTTTTAACCAATCCTTGATATACTAAAGGTTAAAATAGAGTATTTGATTTTAAATTTAAAGTACATCAAAGAGGGAAAGTACAGAAATGCACAAAATATAGTGAATTTATCTTTTAGGTGAAATCGGCACATTTGTTGAACTAATTTGATTACACTTCAGTTATTGCATCCGATTTCAAATTATTTCACTATTTTCTGCTGCTGCTGCTAAGTCACTTCAGTCGTGTCCGACTCTGTGCGACCCCATAGACATCAGCCCACCAGGCTCCCCCATCCCTGAGATTCTCCAAGCAAGAACACTGGAGTGGGTTGCCATTTTCTTCTCCATTGCATGAAAGTGAAAAGTGAAAGTGAAGTCAGTCGCTCAGTCATGTCCAACTCTTAGCGACCCCATGGACCGCAGCCTACCAGGCTCCTCCATCCGTGGGATTTTCCAGGCAAGAGGAGTGGAGTGGGCTGCCATTGCCTTCTCCATCACTACTATTACATACATACGTCATATGATACATCACTATGATACGTGACTATGATACGTCACTATGTATCACATACATACATAAGGAATAAAGATATTAAGACAATGTTGAATATTTAGGATGTAAATATAGGTATTTATATCCTATATAATTTATCTAAAGCAATAGATCCATATTTTCATTACAGTTCCTGAACTAATTTTCTCCCAGTGCTTATAACAGTGGACAACTGCTTAGACATTCAGTATATGTTTTTAGTTGTTTGCTAGAATTATGAAATGTAATGTGATTTTTTTCTCTAAAAACACTTAATCAAAATCTATCACCCAATTAGAAAGCCCAGTTAAGTCCAACTCAGTGTGTAAATACAGCTTCTTAATTTCAGTTTATTTGAGAAACATGGAGTAACTTTAATTTATTATTGAGAAATATCATTACAATTCTTAGTTTTAAACTTAATTCATGAGAATAAAATAAAAAAACTTTCCAAAGTTACGTAGTATCTTCTAAATATTTTAATTAAAGTTAATAAAAATAACACATCCTATTGCCAGGAGTGAAGAAAAAAATATTCAATCTATACAAAAGGCATCTAAAAGAGAACAAAGGCATGTGGTATATGGAGAGAAATTAATTGTTAGGAGAAGATGTAAAACTATTTTTGAAACAGAATTAGAACTGTTTATTTTATTAAAAAGTTGACATAGGTTATCTTTAGTGTTTATGACTTGCAAACTAAAGTATTTAATATTTAACATGTTTAAATACAAGCAGCAGCAGTTTGGTAATCAAAAGGAATAATTTGAATCATCTCAGAAAAATAAATTCATTATAATTAGGATATTTTAGAATATGATTAAAACACTTAAAAGAAAATGTATTCACCTTTCTTGTCATCAAAGTACAGAGTCTGTTGAGCTGGATTTGACCACTGGAGGGAGGTGTTATCATTTTGATCAACCCTGCAGGTCAAAATTGCAGTTCCGCCTTCAACAACCGTTACATTCTGTGTGAGTGGAAACTGCCCTTGGCTGCCTAAAAAGGGATTAAAGAAAAGGTTGATTAAATGAAACTTATAACATGATTAACTTTCCAAGAGTTACATGGACTTAACTTCTCACTCCAAGTAAAATTTAAACCAACCAAACAACAACAGCAAAACTATACATTAGAAAAAAGGCAAAGATAATTGAAAACCTTTAACCAGAGGACAACATTGTGATATACTATTAGGACTTCTTTATATTCCTTCATATGCTCCAGAAAACCTTCTTCTCCTCCTAAGCACACATAAAGATGTATATTTAAATAGTAATGTGATTATCATTAATTTTCTTTGGCCTTGCATTAATTATATGGTGCTAGACCTGGCTATCTTTGAAGATAATAATTCTGGATGAATATAACTCTTTAAAGTAGCAGAAGAAATACATTAAATACTTTCCTTGTAGCTTTTATAATTCTGAATAAAGTATATAAAATATGGATATTAGATTGTTAGATTCAATTTCTGATAGAAAAAATTTAAAAAAGAATCCTCTTACACAAGGCTTTCTTGTAGACACAGCTGTTTTTAGAAATACAAAATGTGTTGCAGAAAACAATGTAAGCATTCTTCAAAAAGTGTTCATCTTATAAAACATCCATCAAAATCTTAAAGTGATTACTCTAGTCC